AACCAAGAGTAAAGAACTAAAAAATATAATTGTTGAATTAAACTCTTCACTGAATGGGCTTAATGTCAAAATGTAGAACTCAATGAATGGTTTCAGTGATTTGATAATAGTTTAACGGAAAGTATCCATTATCAACAGAAAGAATTGGGGATTTTTTGTTTGTTTTGTTTTGGTATTTGAGACAGGGTTTCTCTGTGTAGCTTTGGCTGCCCTGGAACTCTCTATGTAGACCAGGCTGGCCTTGAACTCAGAGATCCATCTGCCTCTGCTTTCCAAGTGCTGGGATTAAAGGCATGTACCACCAACACCCGGCTGAGAAACAATATTTTTTTTTTCAAGACAGGGTTTTTCCATGTAGCCCTAGCTGTCCTGGAATTCCCTCTGCAGACCAGGCTGGCCTCAAACTCACAAATATTTTTAAGTCCGCCATGACTGTTGGACAGAATGGCATACGTCTGTAATCCCACCACTGGGAAGGTGAAGGTTGGAAAATTATGTTTGAGGGTTGTCTTGTCTACATAATGAAACCCCATCTCAAAAACAAGCAAAGCATTGGGAGGTCTATGAGATAATAACAGGAGATCTAATCTTCATATCATATAAGTCCCAGAAAAAGAGAAGATTAAAGTATGGTTCAGAGGTAAAATTTTGAGAAAATAATACCTTAAGTTTTCTCAAATTTGGTAAAAGGCATAAATTTTCTAAGAAAGCTTACTAAAATCCAAAGAAGATATACCCAAAATAAATGGTTCTGTGACTCCCCCCTCAAAAAAAAACTGTAAAGAAATGTCTATTCTCCCCAGATAAAGCAATGACAGATCAAAGAAATTATCCATCCAAGTACAGCCTAATGAGAAAAGGAGTTAATTGGGGTTATCTACAGGAGCATGGGTGAGGGGTTACCTACATACGGGAACATGAGTGAGGAGTTACTTGTAGGGTGGTGGGTGACTCAAAGGTAGCTCCATCACTGAAAAGTCCCCTCAGCATGCATGACGCCCTCACAAAAGATAGGGCACTGGAACTCCCACCCCAGTCAATCTCCACATCTTATATATTCTAGCACATCCCAAGACCGTATATGCACAGTCAGGGCATAATGGGGAGTGCTGATTGCGATGTCTAGAGAGGATCTAGCAACCTTCCCATCTCTGTCAGGGAACATTCTTTGCAGCAGGACCCCTGCCACAGACCTAGCTATGAGGATATTATTGACCCACTTCCTTTATTGCCTTGACTAAGGGCTAAGGTCTTCTGTCAGCCATCACAGCCATTCTGCCTCATGATGCCAATGGTCGTATCAAGCCCCGAGGAAATAGCCCTACTACAATAGAAATTTATGGTTCAAGTGACTGCAGATTCCTCAAAAGATCTAGGGGTGATGGAACAACATTTTAAATGCTGGAGGGAAAAAAAAGAACTGGTCAGCACAGATGTACATTTCATCAAAGAGTCCTTCAGAAATAATGGGGAAGGTGTTAACAGATAAATGGCCAAGAGAACTTATCAGGTAGATCTGGCCTAAAGAATTCTTAAATTAGAACTCCAAATGGGTAGGAAATGTCTCCGGAGAGCATCCTGAACCTATAGGAAGGAAAAGAGAGCAACAAGATTGGGAAACAGTCTGGAAAATGATTGTTAGGTTCTTTGGAATGTGTATGGACGTTGAAAGGAAATGCAATAAAAGTTGTGGTTTGGATGTAAAATGTCTGCATAACCTCATGTTTGAGCACTTGGTTGTAGACGGTGGCACTGTCTGGGAAGATTACGGAGCTTGGCTGGAGGAAGTGTGTCATGGAGGGGGGGCGGGGCTTTCCGGTTTTGGAGACCGGCCCCACTTCCTGTTCCGACTCTGTTTCCTGACTGCCAAGCAGCCCCACACTCCTCCCGACATGCCCTCCAGGCCATGACAGACTGTCTCTCTGGAACTGTGAGCTCAAATCAGCCCTTTCTCCCTTAAGTAGGTTCTGTCTGGCTATTTTATCACAGAAGTAAAAAAAAAAAAAAAAAAAAACAAAGAAAGAAAGAAAAAGAAAGATACCACTACATAAGTATGGAATGTGAGTTTTAGGGGTTGGGGGTTGGGTTTGGTTTTGGAGGCAAGGTTTTGCTATGTAGCCAAGGATGGTCTTGAACTCACCCTCCTCCTGTCTTTGCAAATATCCTAGGGGAAGGTTGACTAGAGTTGGAGACTCCAGTGGTACATATTTTGTGATCCCCCTGTGCTGGAATTATAGGCGTGCACCACCAGATCCAGCTATAATCCGTTTTTAAACATACGTGACTGTAATACATATGGCAAGACTACATGTACAGAGGGAAAAAGAAAAGAAAACATGTTACAATCGGCTTCTACCTCCCTCCAGAGAATGAAAAAGTCCTAACTCGGAGTGAATTGTGAACAAAGGGGTCATCAAATAGATTCCTTCAACAACAATAAACATTTAAATATGAAAAAAAGTTATGTGGTACTGCAGAGATTCACACCTCTGAGGGGAAACTATTCTACCCCTGAGCCACACCCTCGGCCCTGGAGAATGTTTTGTGAGTTGAAGATAGGCAAATCTTTCTTGAACAAAACACAAGGTCACTAACTATAAATGAAAGTTATAAATTGTATTTCCTCCCATTTTTAATTAATTTTCTTTGAGAGGTATCAGTGTTCAATCCCTTTCTTTGGGTATATCATACAAAAAAAAAAAAAAAAAACCTCATATACAGAAAATACACTTTTAAAAATAGACTAATTAATTATAACAAGATAAGCTGATTTTCTAAATGACTGCAAGATTCGAATGGATGCCTTGCAAAAGAACTTGTATAGGACCTGGGGAGGGAATACAACCAGTGAATTGCTTGCCATACAAACACAAGAACATGAGTTTCACCCCAAGAACTTACATTAAAAATATGAGTTCTACCAGGTATAGTGACATATACTTTAATCCCAACACTCTGGAGGTAGGGGCAGGTAGATCCCTGTGATTTCAAGGCCCATGTGGTCTACATGCTGAGTTTCAAGACAAACAAAACCACATAGTAATATCTTATCTCAAAAATAAAAAATTTTTAGAAACCTAAAAGATGAGTTCTCAGACATGGTGATAGGCATTTATAATCACCACTCTGGGAAGGAGGAGACAGAAAGGTCCCTAGAGCTCGCTGGCTGGCCAGCCTAGCCTACTTGGGAAACTCTAGGCCAATGAGAAACAGTGTCTCAAAAAAGAAAGTAAGACATAAGTACACATATGCACACACACACACACACACACACACGCACACGCACACGCACACACACCTGCAGACAGACATACACAAAGAATTTATACAAATTGACAGTAGGGAAAAAATATAGTCTAACAACACCTGAGATCCAAAATATCTGAGATAAGATTATAAAAAGATAAAAGTACACATCCTGTAAAGTAGCTAGACTTAGAAGAGTTGGTAGTGAATATATCCCACATTGCCGGTAGAAACCACCAGGCGCCAACAGTGGTGGAGCCATCATCTAGAAAAATTGTTTCTAGACAAATGTTTCAGCATTTTCAACTGAACAAATACTTACCCAGCAATTCTACTCCTAAGCAGAAAACCTTGAATTTGAGGTTTTAAACAAGAGCTTAAAAAAATGAAAATAAACATCCAAAAGGACAGAAATGTTCATAACAGCTTCACCTGGGACAACCCAAAGTCTTCTGGTAAGGGAATGCACACACTCATTATAATATATTCACACAACAGACCACTACCCCGCCATAAAAGGAATGAGACACAGGTACAGAATATCCTGGGTAAGTCTCAAAAACATTATATGATGCAAAAGAAGCCAAAGGGGAAAAGGCACAAATTGAATCATTCATCTTAGTCACTGCTCTATTGCTATGAAGAGACACATGACCAAGGCAACTCTTATGAAAGAAAACATTTCATTGTGGGCTGGCTTACAGTTTCAGAAGTTAGTCCACTATCATCACGGCAGGGGCATGGTGGCACTCAGGCAGACACGGTGCTGGAGAAGTAGCCAAGACTTGTGCATCTGTAGGCTGAAAGAGAGAGACTAAGCCTGGGGCAAAGCCCACCCCCAGAGACACAGTTGCTCCAACACAGCCACGCCTCCTAATCCTTCTAATCTTTTCACATGGTGCCACTCCCTGGTGACTAAGCATTCAGATCGATGAGCCTATGGGGCCATTCTTATTCAAGCCACCACACCGTTTATATCAATTAGTAGTGGGAGAAAAATCCAATCTATGATAACAAAAAGATTGATAGTTGCATGGAGTTGAACTCCAGCAAACTGTGACGTGGAAAGGAACGTGAGAGAATTTGGCGGGGTGGTGAAAGGCACTGTGATCATAATTTGTGTGATGGTTGCTTAAGTGGATATGTGTCAAGGTCCATTTAACTCTACACCTAGGATGAAAGCATTTTACTTTCTTAAAAATATACTTTAATAAAGCTGATTTAAAATTCTCTAAGGGAGCCATTTTTTCCTCTCTGGTTTATAGTATTATATTAAAACAGGAAGCTGTTATGGGGAAGATCTGGCTTCACCTTCTCAGAGACATAGGGACTTTCTGGTTGACTGGTCGGCTGCCCGAAAAATCACAAAGGATGGGAGTCTGCTCCTCTTTCACTCACGCCTCTGTTCTCTTCTTGGTACACAAAGACTGTGTCCATATAGTAGAGGAGTAGATCTTTGGTTAGTTTGCTTCTTGCTCTAAGATCCAAAAATGCAAGATTTTGTCTCAGAACCCCAGCTGGAGATAAATATTGATCCAGCTGAGGTTGGAGACTCTCCTGTGTACCATCACAGTGCTCAGGAAAAGGGCAGCTTGTGTGAATCACATTAATACTGTGTGGCCTGAAAGAGAGGCAAGAGGTAGGGCAGAATACTGTGATGATGGTCCCACCAGAATCCAAAGCCTGGGGAGATGAATATCCCAGCCAAGGCATACATGCTTGCAATCCTAAACCATCATGTATTCCAAGATAAATGACACTCACAGTAATTTGAAATGGGAATGTAAAAAAAAAAAATGGATGGGGCTGGAGAGATGACTCTACAGTGAAGGACGCTAGCAGCTCTTCCAGGGGACAGGGATTCAATTTCTAACTCACATGGCAGCTCGCTTCTCTCAGTACCTCCAGTCCCAGGGAATCTGACACCCTCTTCTGACCCCAGCAGGCACCTGCCATGCACATGGTACACAAGCCTACGTGTAGGAAAAAATACCCATACACATAAAGAAAAGGTTGATTAAATTTGCTTGCTTATTTGTTTTAAAAGATGGAAGTCTTAGCTTACTTACAAAAACCTGCCCTACAACTACAGAGGAGGAAACATCTGGGGCCAAGATCTTTTCTGTTCCCCCAAGATCCTAGTGATGTTCTTGCTTTTCATACAAGAAAACAAAGATGGTGGGGGATGGGAGTATTCTTTCCTTCCTGACCACTGTAATTCTTTGGGGGAGAAAAGTACACAAATATACATGTGTAAACTATCTTTCTTCATAAACATTAATATATCAGTGTGACTGGGCTCTTATTACTTAGTGGAGCTAGCATTTTTATTCTTGTGAATATTTCTCAGCAGCCTGCTGCGGTGGAAGTTTCTATCCGGCTTTCCCCAGTGCCTCCGTGTCAGGGAATATATGGAAAAGGAAATCAAAGGCCCTATTTCATCAGCTGACGGTGGAGAGGACAGCGAAGGGAACACAAGCGAAGGCTGGCCGCCCGCCCTCTTTCTCCCAGAGGAAAATTACCAGAACTTTCTGCTGAGTGACTAAGGACTGCCTGGTATTCTCATCTCACAGGAGACTGTGCAGACAGCTCTGTAAACACGACAGAGGGAAGCCAGGATTCCACCCTGAGGCACAGCAGGCTGCCCCTGCCCAGGTGGCCTAGCTTACCTGTGGACATTAGACAGCCAGCCAGGAACGCTCATGGGCAGGAGGCTCGCAGATGCTTCCTGGCACAGCCACAGATAGGATCCACAGACTAGCCCGCATGACGGGGGAGACATCGGCTTCTTCGTGCTGTGACTGTGGAAACAGGAGCTCTAGGTAGCCTGTCGGCTTACACAGGTGTCTGGAGGACGCGAGTCGACGCTGGGGCTCCTCGCTCACATTGCCTTTCTTGCCCCTGCTCTGAGACAGCTGCGTTCTCAAAACCCAGAGGATGGCAAAACAGAAAAGGAAGGGAAATCAGAAACCAGTTAAAATGTGCTGCGGGGAAACGAAGGACTTCCATGCACTGCCTGTTACTGTGTTTGTCGTGTGCCTGTGGAGGCAGACACCTTCCGAGTTCTCGCTGTATTTCAGTGCCCAGTGAGGAGCTGGGATGCTCAAAATAGCCAATGAATGAGTGAGACATTGCCTAGTTACAGGAATCACTGTAGTCATGAAAAGGTTCATGAATGTGCTATGAGGCATGTCTGTGTTTTGGTGTGGGGGAGGTGGGCTATCTGTCCGTGTGTGTCTATGTATCCATGTGTGTGTTGGTGTGTGTGTCGTCTTTGTGTGAGTGCCTGTTGGTCTGTATGTGTTGGTGTGTATATATGTGTGTTGTGTGTGTGTGTGTGTGTGTGTGTGTGTGGTGATGTGTATATGTGGTGTGTGTGTGGTATGCTTATATGTCTGTAGGTGTGTGTTTATGTGTGTGTACATATTGGTGTGTGTATGTCTGTCCATGTGTATGTGTTGGGGTGTATATTTATGTATTGGTATATGTGTGAGAGATCGTGTGTGTGTGTGTGTGTGTGTGTGTGTGTGTGTGTGTGTGTGTGATAAATCCCAGTTTCTGAAGTCCTAATGTCCAAGAAACTATGACTTCTTTTTACCTTCTTTTAGCTAGCTAGAATGAAAGTAGAATGTTATCTTCTCAGAATGCCCTACTACTAAGAGACTTCCAACCCTGTTGATTTCAATTATCAAACTGTATCTTCCCTTAGTAAGAAGGAACTTGAGCCATTTCTAAGAAAAGAAAGTCAGGACATTCCACCAAGACCAACACTAGAGTGAGGTAGAGGCCTGAGGCGCCGGAGCAGCGCAAGGCCAAGGCAGAGCCACCGCCTACCCATGCCCAAACACAGCTGTAAACACCGCGTCCGCCAGCGCCGCTCCAGGTCTCCTCACAGGCCCGTGGGTCACTGTTGCTGCCCACTTGCCCCTCGTCTTAGAAAGGCTTTGCCCTACAAGCCACATTTCTTCCAAGTAAAGCTCTCCCTCCCCTGACCAAACTTAATCCAGACCACCTCAGAGAACCAGGTTGTTCTCAGACCCACCGAAGGGGAGGATGAGAGCCCTTCCTGTCTCTGCTCCTTTTGGGGTTACCTGCCTGAAAAGAGAGCCATTGTTCTAATCATTCTAGACCAGGGAAGAGGTGCCATGTTCTAATCATTCTAGACCAGGGAAGAGGTGCCACTCTAGGCCTCCAGATCCTCTCCAGACAGGCTCTCTGGGGAGCGAAGCAGCGTCTACTTTTAGAGCTAAATAGTGAAGCCCAATTTCCCGGGGAGGTAAGTGTTGATGATGAGAACAGCCAGGCTCCATCAGGTCCTGCCTCCACCATGACCCTTTCTTCTCAGGGCTAGAGCAGGACCCTGTGTGTCTGAAGGGTGGAAGAACACAGCACCAACTCTCCCCCTGAGCTTATCCACATTTAGAAAGGTAAACAGCACTGTGGCCCATGTGGCCACGCGAATGGATGCTGTGCTGTCTCAAGGAAGCCAGTACCTTGCCATATGGTTCCCCGGCTTTCAGTGGAAGGTAATCCAGTGCTTAAGCTGGGACCAATAGAAGGCTGAGTGGTCCCTGGAGGCCGCTGGGGCTGGACGGGAAGGTTCGCAAGGGCTGGAGGGAGAAAGACAAAGGAAATAAACAGAATGTGGGGACAGTTGGAGTGTGGGTCCCTGCGTTCCCTCTGAACCTTGTACATGGAGACCTCACAGGTTCTCTCTTGGAAGCTATGACAGACAGATACTGCCTGGCCACGTGGCCAGAATGGAACCCCAGCTTGCTTTTGAAAACCCACACGGAGAACTGCCCCCCTGGTTCCAACCCTGAACTACTGTTACAGAGAGTCATACCTGGACTCTGTTCCCTTTTATCTCCGCCGTCCCTGTCGGCAATCTAATCTCTTCGAATCCTCGGTCTTTTCCTGGCTCTTCTCAGCCTTCTGTTCACCCTCGCCCAGGTAAATGGAAAATCAGTTCTCAGGAGGGGAAGCACAAGAAGACTTTCCTCATCTCGGAAGTAAACCGGCGTTTGTGTTCACCGACTCTCTCCGGCAGGCAGCGTGCGTGCTCTCGCCATCAGAACTCCAGAGCATCAACTCCACACCAGCCTAGGCGGAAGGTATCTCCGCTCAACTTCCGGTGTTACAATAACCTGGGTGTTTTAAGGTTCTCAGACAGATTGGAGAAATACTGTTGAAAGACCCCCAGCTGAGATCTTCCTCCGGGAGAGACCCCAAACCCAAGGAACACACCGAAACCACAGATCAGATGCAAAAGCAAGAGGGTTTATTTAGACCAGGTACCTGGGGCGAAGTCTCTTGGAGGACTTGCGCCCCTTCCTAGGGCAAGGGGGACTTTTTATGGGATCCCAGGGGCAGAGGCGCGGTTACAGAAGCGAGAAGCATAGTTACAGGGTCCCTATTGGTTGTTTCAAAGAAGGCCAGGGTGAACTTGGGGTCGTATGTGTGTGGCTGATTTGGCCTTATCCAGGCCAGCTGCTTATTCCTCAAGGCCAGGGGGCCAGCCATAAAATATCTTGATTCAACTCAACTGTCTTTCTCCCAAGGCCGCCGACCATAGTTATCTCTCTCAAGGCTGGATGGCTGGCTATAGTTATCTCTGTCAAGGCCGGGTGGCTGGCTACGGCTGTGAACTCCTGTTTTTCTGATTCCTTTAGAATGGCGTTTCTTAGGCTAAGTTATGGGGGGGGGAGCATTTCATTGGCCCAAAGCCCCATGTCCTCATAATGGAGCGGGGGTCTTTCACTGTGGGAATATAGTGAAATAAGCTTTTAATCCTTTCCGAAGTCATCAAGAAAGGCTTTTTGACAGTGGTGCTAGTTGTGTTGACTCTTAAAGGATAAGTAGTATTTTTTTTTAAGACAATAAAAATAAAAAAGGCAATGCGGACTGTAGATGTAACTCAGTTGGTAGAGTGCTTGCCTAGCATTCTGGAAAATCATCTTAAAATGTGTCACAATGGGGGCTGGAGAGACAGCTCAGTTGGTAGAGTGTTTGCCTAGTATTCTGGAAGCCCTGGGTTCAACCCCCAGCGCTGCATTAAGAAAATAAGTATAGCCGGGTGATGGAGGCGCACGCCTTTAATCCCAGCACTCGGGAGGCAGAGGCAGATGGATCTCTGTAAGTTCAAGATGAGACCTCAAGGTCTATATAGTGAGTTCCAACACAGCCAGGACTTGGTAGAGAGACTCCGTCAAAAAAAAAAAAGAAAAGAAAAAAGAAAGAAAGAAAGAAAGAAAGGAAGGAAGGAAGGAAGGAAGGAAGGAAGGAAGGAAGGAAGGAAGGAAGGAAGGAAGGAAATTAAACCACATATTTACTCAGGAAAAAAGGACATCAGGGACCCTATGCTCTATATTTAGTGGTTTGGGCATTGTCACATGAAAACTAGGGCCCTGTAAGTTATTTAAGTCAGAAATTACCACTATCATATTTTCATAGTAAGAAGCTACCTGTGGCTCCTGGGTCAGGATGGTGCAGCTAGGGTAAGACCAGAAGCAAGGAAACTAGTGAAGAGGCTCCTGCAGCGTGGGAGCAGGAGATGCCAGGGTCTGAACCATCAGGACAGCGTAGGTTTGGAGGAGACAGCCTCATGTTATCACTCCGTTTCCAAAGCAGCACTTCTCCCTCCCAACACAGTCTTGTGGAATCAAACAAGAAAATTATGCCTGCATGCTAAGGCAAAGACGAGTGCTTTCTTGGCTTGCATTTGCTGGAAATGATCTTTTCTTGAGTTGTAAATAGGTTCTTCTGCACAGAGCGAGTGGTGGTGGTGGCATGACAGTGACAATAATAACGATGACATGACCACCTGTTTAGAATGTGAGAGTGGACTTTGGACTCCCATGAGGTGAGACTTGCTCTCTTCTGGATATGGATGCCTCTCCCTCAAGGTGACAGAATTAGAAGGCAGAGTCTGGGGAAGTGGCTAAATCGTGATGGCTCAGCCTTCATTAATGGGATGAGTAACATTATAAAAGCAACCTTGACCACAAAGAGCCAGGGACCTCTGGACACAGCAGGACACTGGCACGTGTGAAATCATAGCAGTCATGACATCGCAAACCAGAAAGACCTGTGCAAGCTCAATCCAGACAGAGATCTCACATGGAAGAGCTGAGGTAGAGAGAGGTAGATGTCCTTTTTCCTGAGTAAACATGTGGTTTAATTTTCTTTTTTCTTTCTTTCTTTCTTCTTTCTTTCTTCCTTTCTTTCTTTCTTTCTTTCTTTCTTTCTTTCTTTCTTTCTTTCTCTCTTTCTTTTTCTGAGACAGAGTCTCTCTACAAGTCCTGGCTGTGCTGGAACTCACTATGTAGACCTTGAGGTCTTGTCTTGAACTTACAGTAGAGGTAGCTGAGGAGCTATTAGAAGAGAGTGAAGAGTCGGTTTTCTTTAAGGGTGTAGCTCCTAGTAGGTTGACCATGCTCCAGTGGACAGCCACATACCCAGGAGCATATGGGCAGTACCAACTGTACTTGACAATTTTTTTTTAAAGGACACAAAGTTGGTTGGGTAGGGAAATGAAGGGGGATCTGGGAGGAGTTTGGAGAGGGGTGATTATGGTCAAAATACATTGTATAAAATTCTCAAAGACCTAATAAGAAAGTGAAAAGGAAAAAATAACTCTGAGAAAGGTTGTGTGTCCTTCCATCAGCACAAAATACGTTGGAGGTGTCGCCTCTAACACGCCTTAAGCAGACACCAAATGCAATGATAGATCGTACTGACTCGCCAGTCTTCAAAACACAGAGTAGTACTTTTCTATTCTTTGTAAATCTTCCTATCAAAGATATTTCTTTATAGCAGCCCAAAACTAAAGCAAGATTGAATATCAATTATTCCTCCAAAAGACTTGCGGTTGTATCGTCAGAAATAGATCTTTCTGTATTAGTAACAAAATATCTCATAGAACATCTGAAAGGGTTGTCTGAATTATTTTCTCATTGCCATGATAAAATATCCTGACAATAGCGACCTAAGAAAGAAAGGATTTATTGTAGCTCACAGTTCCAGGACTACAAATCCATAGGAAAGACACAACATCCGGCAGGGAAGGCATGGCAACATAAGCAGATGCTGGCAGGTCACATTGCACCCACACACAGGAAGCAGAGTTAGGTTCTAACA